TGGTACCAGAGCCTTTTGTGTATAAGATTAAAAGAAGGACGAAACAAAGAACTCTTTATTGGTGGAATTGCTGTTGCTGATGTTGCTATAGTTGCTGTTCTCGTTGCTGCTGTTGTTGCTATTGTTACTGTTGCTGTGGTGGTTGGCAGTACTGATGTTAAATTGAATAATTGAGTCGATGGTAAAAATGGTAAGAAAGGTAATATTGTATTATTCTCAATAATTTGTTTAATATGCTCAATCATCAAATGACTGTTACAATAATCTTTATTACAAAAATACGTGAAAGAATCAAAATCGATACTCGTGTTAACTGGATACGTACGAGAAGTAAAAATATTGATAAGAGACGATGATAAATAGGAACCTGCACACGTAGATAACGATTTTGGTCCATAGTAATCGTTATTACCTCTGAATCCAAGACAATATTTTGCGGTACACACACTGCTCATGGCAGAATTATTATAGCATTGAGATAAAGTTTTATTTAGATTATTATCTAATAAAAATGGTAATAAGTTATCGAATAATTGTTGATAATCAAATTCATTAATTAATCTAATAAAATAATCAACAAAAATTTTATCACAATTGTTTATTGTCTGACACGAATAGGTTGTAAATGACTTAATGAGCTTTGGATAAGTTTCTATACTTATAGTGTGATAATACATAAATCCGTAGTTGTCTTGCTGATCCAATTCATTTGCAGAATTGAGAAATTTAATATTGATTAACTTCTTGTCATAATTAATGACTATTTCACACATACATGTTAGAGAAAAGTCTCTCCTGCAATCAAATGGTATTACTAGTTGTTGATCAAATGATAATGTTATTTCACATCCTTTTTGAAGACAAAGATAACGAATTGACATGACATCGCACAATATTATAATAGAGAGACAAATGTATTGTGTTTTAATCATTTTAACAGTATAATTTAATAGAGAAAAATATAATCATGCGGAAAAGAATGTATGGCACATTAATAAATCCTTTATCAATATTTGTCATCATATCCTATTAATATTGTTAAGATTCTCTGTCATTTAATATTAAATTTTAAAGCCGTTTAAAAACAAAGTATGGCAGTTCCACGCATATTAGTATTTTATTCACCATATATCACAGTATTTATTTTATTACCCAAGAACTTTTTTTTCCCCTTTAACTCAAAACTAAACTGACTACAAATGAACAAATTTTTTATTCAAAAATACTTCGAATTACATCCCGTTCCATAGCATATACATAGGATATTCCAAAAGTAATCTATAGTTAATAATATTTATTGACTCTATAGATTACTTACTACCGTTATTCAATAAATGTTGAATAATTGAATTTAAAAATATACATGTGGCTTCTGTATCAAACTGTGTAGATTTCTAACTTACAGAAGATTAGTGTTTACAATTTAACGTATTAATAAAATGCTTAGCAATACATCACTTATTTGTTCAATTTTTCATCATTTTTTACACATAATTTTCACCTAAGCTTTAAAAACGTTATTCGGGTATTTTGAGAATTAAAGATGTTCGACGAACTGAATATTTTCCGAACGTATGCCTTTGTTCTTTTGATTTCCATCATCGACAATTTGTATTAGTTTATCAGGATTTCTATTTTGTGCTACAATAATTTGTGTTAAATCCACTTGCATCGTTTTTAAGTTTTGATAAAACTTAACTTCATCGTTATGTAATAATTCTTGATGTTCTCGTTCAACTCTATTTTCTGCTTCTTTTTCCAGTAAATGGGCAGTGTGCTTCTGTTTAGCCAGTTCTAAAGTATGTGCTATGGTCTCCATTTCCATTTTGCGTTCTAAAAAGAAAAGATGGCAAACCGTCATAAAACACTCTACTTCAGACTAAAAAGTAAATATATTAGTAGTATCTCGTATTCGAATATTTGTTGTAAAATCTTGTGATACCTTTTTGAGATCTATCATATCTTTTTTCAAGTTTCATATCCTCCAATAATTGTAGTTGTCTTTCTGTTTCATCTTCCAATCTTAATTTTGTCCGTGATTCAATAGCGCTGTCATTCATATGCTAAAAAGTTAAAGAGAATAGATCTTAGTGAATAACTAACTACAAATGAATATAACTATTCTTACTTGAAGTTTATCCGTGGCTAAATAACCTCTGAAAACAACCTTGTTGATTTTGTATCCAACTGATTCCGAGCGTGTCATCAATTGTGGATAAGTTTCTAATTGATTCAATTGGTTAGCATTCTCCAAGAATGTTTCATACTTTCTAACAGATGCAAATGCAATTACATCGGCACATATGGCATTGATCTTGAAAGAACAAAACATAGCAAATTTAATTCTAAATCGGAATAAATGTGAGAGGGTAGCAGTATATTGTCTACATTCTATATATTAGAAGACCTAAATTAATTATGCTAACTAGCTTATTTATCAAGAACAACATGACTAGTAGATAGCTTCAAAAGTTCGTAAATAGAAAGTTTTCGCAAATTTCATGCAGAATGTAAATAAACATTCTAGGAGAATCTTGTACAAAATCTGTATAGATCTGAAATCTTCGATCTTATATAGATTCTTAAATGAAAGATGAACTTAAGTTAAGACGAAGCTTCAAGTCAAGAGTGAACTGCTCATTTAAGTTTTAGAGCTATTTAAAAATGTTGTTTAAATGATCTTATCACATAATATAAGTATCATTGCTATAAGATTCATCGCTTTCCCGTTAGTGCCTACCAGTATCTGGTAAAGACCAATGTGCTTGAGTTTGGCACCCATCTGTACCATACGCCTTATGTATAGTTCCTAGCACTAGGATTTACGGATATCCGTTATCTAAAAATCTAAGCGTGGATGGTCGATACTTCACATATAATAGACGTTTCTCTAACGCTTCTAACAAAAGATATTCGCTATTTTTTATTTAAATCACGCTACAGTCATCTATCGGACACAAATGGGCGAGTATGAATTTGTGATACTCATGCAAGTAAAATATACCATGATATATTTTCTATGATTACTCGAAAAAAATTGACTCCAATACTTGGTTTTTAAAAAACTCTTTTTAAGATTTTTTCAGCGTGATTTTATGATGCGATCGTATCGATCAAAATTTCCTTCATCAACATAATATTTGTTTAAATTTTCAAAATATAATAAATACTTGTTGATATGTTACTGTTTTTTTTCTGTTGGTGATAAAAGGTATTGATACTGTGAAAGGAAACCTTTCTAAGCGATCAACACGAGAGAGAAATTACCAAAATGTAAAAATGAATCTTTCTCTTAGCATCTTAGCCTAGTATTTGTACTCGATCTCAATTATAAATCTCAATACTCGTACTCAGAAGTACTCGAAAAACTGTGTATTCGCTCACCTTTGCTATTAGAAAACAAAGGAGCAAAGATATCCCTTGGAAGGAACTAATAATTTTTACTACAAAATATGCATATAAATGAACTTACAAAATCGGAAATAGGATCATGTGTATTATTTAACATTGTCTCAACATCGACCAATTCAAAAAAGATCATCAATTTCACCGTGATAAGTGCATCATCTGATGTTCTCACATCTGATATATTGTAATAGAACTGATCTGGTATTAAACGAAGTTTTTTAAATACTTTTGCACCTGGCACAATTCTTGCTTTATGTTCTTCTTGTTCACCGTGCCATATGAATTCGTGTATCCATTCATTCGGTTTCGGTGCATACATACATGGACCTTTGACTATTTGACGAAGTGAAGAATCTAAAAATATTTAAAAATTGAACGCTAATTCAAACTCTAGAAAAATTAAGAGACGACGTATTTTATGTTACCTGGTAGTACTTTTTCTGCGAATGTATTATCAATCTTTTTCTGTGTATACAAAATAATAATTTCATTTGCATCTAATTTAATCATTTGTTTTTTCTCAATCGAAACAATTTTCAGTGGATCATCATATATTGATATTGGACCCGTTTCAATTTCCGTGTGACCATCAGCATAATGAATTTCTAAATATTCAGTATCGTGTGCTTGATGTATCCTCAGCGGTTCGAGACGACCGCCGCATGGACATACGAAGACAATACGGGGACCATCTATATATTCACAGTCACCATTAAATTTCCAGTGAACAGATCGTCGTCCCCTTTTCACTTTGCGAAAAAATAACATTGTTTATCGTAAAATCGAAAACAGTAACAGGTAAACAAAAGCTAAACAATTTGGCTTATTTCGCCTCGTCAAGATCTGTAAAAGTTTCTTCCATTTCTTGCTTCTCCTTTAATATAGGCTTCTTATGTCTCGTTATTGTGCAATAACAACATAACACGAAAGCGTTCAGTGTTTTTTTTCTGTTCTGTGTCACCGACATTAGTCAACGTGTAATAACATGTATGTCATAAAAATGTACACGCTGGCACATAATGCGTCATGTTGAATAAGAAGCATGGTAAAATATTATATTAATTTTGCTAAAATATAACTCTTTTTTGCCATTATTTAAATAATTAACTATATTGATGAAAACAACAATTAAAAAGCTGTGCACTAGATAGAGACGGGGAAAAAAACCATATAAACGAGAGACAAAGCGTAAAAACAACTGAGTAGGCTGAAACGAGCATAGGAGGAGACTTTTCGTCGGTTTTCAGATCAACTATTCACATATCTAAAGACTCCATCCATAGTTGAATGAACACATCTCCAGACCAACGAAATGTTATCTTGTGACTTACTCTCACGCCATGGCACAATAAAGTCTTATCTCTGTAATGTGAATATTTCGTTCAATCTATGAAATGGATTGACTAAAGGGTTGTAATATTAATATCTTATCATAATCAAGTGAACTTAATTATTTCTTTGAGTTATTCACATCCGTGGCCGTTTGAGGTGCGACTGATTCACGTTTAAACTTAGCAAATCCACCATTAATCTGACTGAAATGAACCACTTATGGTTTCGTTCTTCTCAAATTATTTCCTGTTTATAATTTCAATTTGATCACCCACACTAATTTGCGGCAACAATTCTATTTCAACTGCCGTCTGAACATATTTTAACATTAATCCAAAATTGGTTTGTCTATATTCCTTCAACTTTTTGAATAGTTGACTCTGTTTTGAACATGATTGTTGATCAACATTCACTTGTACGCACCGATTACATAGCCCAGTTGATTGAAATAAACAGGTGCCAATTTGCAGTTGTAACCAGTTTTCTTCGACGTATGGTTGTTGATGATCGAAAAGAAAATTTGGTCTAAATCGGTCGAATGTTATTTGTTCGTCAGGTAATTCTGAGTCGATTGATTGAACACTTTGCTCATTAATCAGCAGAAAATCACCCTCATTAAAATAATTTATTTTCAAACATCGTCTAGCTAAATTTGCATAGGTTCCCATTGCTTTCGATAACCATTGCTGTACTTGTTGGTCATAGACGTAACCCCAACGATCGGTACCGCACAGACGAAGTGGAAGCGAGTCAGAAATATCACCTTTGACGTTAGCACCTATACAAAAACAATGAATAGCAGTCATTCTTACACATACTACGATGAATTACCTTCATTCAAGTCAATGAATAAATCGCTGATCATATTTGGAGCACTAATAACAAGTTGGTTCTTGTCTAAATTAATTTTTGGTATAATTTTACACATTTTGGGATGTCTCATTTGAGTTAGTGCATACCCATTTCTATCTATCATTGTCCACTCACGATCCAAATATAAACAGGACTTGTGTATATCAATATGCCACTTATCTAATGAGATACCAGCACAAGATTTCACGGGATAAATAAATAATTTGGTTAATAAAATATGATCTTTCACACCACTTGAATTAGCCATAGCTCTAATTTGAATCAATACTGCGAGACTTGACTGCTAAGTGAATACACTGTCGAAAAACGGATCGTATTCTTCTTTAACTATTTTTAATGAACTTAATTTTTTTATAATCTATTTAGTATGTATAACAGTATCGAAAGTCGCCTTACCTGTATATTTATTGATAAATGCATTATTACGCCATATAGGAAAATAATTTAGAAGAAAAGAAGAAAAATACTGCATGAATCGTACATATAGGTAATTGCGCATTTACATGTGTTTTTTGTTCGTTTAAAATAAGCATAAAAAAACTAAAAGATATGTGTGTTTTAACGTCATTAATGTACATCTGCTCGGTGATTTCATAAGTTTTAACTTTCTAATGCAATTTCATTATATTACATGGTATGACTGATAAGATATGTGCTTCGACCAGTTAGTGAGAAAAAGGCTTGATATCTCTTCATTTTCGTTCTTATATACTCTAATCATCAGAACAAAAAGGTGAATAACTTTAAAACGGTGTATAGTGTGATATTCTGCGCACTAATGTGTGGATACCGTCCGATATACCGAGCAGTTTTAGATTGTACTGCGGTAACCAACGATATTAAATAAAAGTATTCGACATGGAAGTAATAGTGGACTATCACAATCCATGTCAGTCGCTGTTGATCACCGAACTCTAATCATAGAAGCTCTAATAAAAAATACGCATTTGAAAACGGAGCATGGCTTAAAAGATGATCCCGATCATCCCCTCCAAACAGTTAAGACATATACTATACCCAGATATTGATGGTACGACTCACACTTCCATCAGATGGGCTCGTGAAATCGTTTGAGACCATCACAGGGAAAAACGAATTTCTGTCAGCCGGATCTCCACCCCGACCCGATCCCAAGGACATGACTGCTGAGATCGAAATTCTCACTGTAAGTAGTGCAAACATAATACTGGATCTTTTTTTTCTGATTTCAAAACTTCTTTTTCGTTTGGTTTTCCTTCGTTCGAAAGTCAAACACTGAGTTACCTTCGTGGAAAATACACAAGATCTAAGAGATTCGCCTATATAGATTCTATAAGCACGTGGACCGTTTTAAAAGATCTCAAAATAAACGCACCAAATGGTTCATTATCGTCTCTATATGAGTTCCTTGGTGTAATATCGCTTTGTTGTTGGTGACTTACAGAATGTAGCGAAGATCAGTTCGGTCCTGTTTGACGCACAGAGGATAGCGGCATAGTTCCAGAGCACCTCATTTTATAGTCAATCGATAGAGAATTGAATTCTCTACAAAATCTGTAATTTTAATCTCTGACAGCGTTTTGCCCGTTTGAGTACCAATCAGAATATTGAAGGGTACTGAGTTGTCGAAATGCGACGTGCTTTTGATGTCTCCTTCTTCGAGATTTCTATCCCATTGTCTAATGTTCAATAGCTAATTTTTCTAGGTAGAAAGATAGAGCATTTTGTGTTCTATTGATCTCACTAATATAAACCTTTATACAATGTTTTTGCTACGTCAGCTGGACTCATCATTAGTTCTCAACCGGCTTTTCAATTTTTTCAAATTAAATTAATTGTTTTAATTAGTGATTTGAATTAAGAAACTTCCTTTATATATCAAAAAATACAGAATTTAAGTCTGTGTAAGATGGTAAGACTAGAACTCTGGATTCAGAACGTTTTACTGCTTTTATAGCCCAAAAACTAAAGTCTATGAGAAATAGTTTCAGAAGTTAGGCTTTTTTAGATTTATCAGTTTTTTTGCACAGAAATTTTTCTAGAAAAGTGAGCTGCAAAAATGTCGAAAATTACGTGAGAAGATGCAGAACTTTCTGGTGAATCTTCTGATGTTTTCAAAATTCTTATGGAATCTGTTTTTGGATCAAGGCAAATATTTTTCTATTTTCAGTGTGTCGCAGTTCGACAACTCAGCACCCTTCAATATTCTGAATGATACTCAAATGGGAAAAGTGCTGTCAGAGATTAAAATTACAGGTTTTGTAGAGAATTCAATTCTCTATCGATTGACTGTAAAATGAGAACTTGAAACTTCACAGAAGGGGATTAATAAACAAGAACAAATGCGGCCGGTTTTATCTGGGCCACCCGTTATTTTGAGATCTAATTCTAGTCGCATAACGAATCAGAATTGAAAAGTATAGGTGGATACCGTTAGAACAACAGCTGATGATAATCCTGAAGCATGTACTTTCGAATTTCATTTTCCAAAGTAACTTCTGATTTAGCCACACTTCAGAAGACACATTTAGTTCAACTATGTAACAACAGAAAAGGCGAACGGACTTCTTTACTCCCACCAGATACGGAGGCATCCACATAAGACGCGTGCTGGTATGTTGCTTTTCTCGATATAATCCTTTAAAATGTCCGAGTATTTTATAGAACACAGATGTTGAATGCAATAGCCCGAGCGGATCTGTATATTTTGTAAAAATAGATTCCTTGTAAGGTATACGATGATTGTGACTGTTGATCTCTCCAAGGGATAAAAGAAAAATTATAAGATATATGAAAAGACAGCTTGAATGGGTAGGACATATTTGTAGACGCTCAGATACTGAGTGCTTGAGAAAATTTGGCTTATATCAACCAATGCATGGTACAAACAATCCAGGAGAGCAGCCACAGGACTATCTTGGTTATGTGTTGAGCTTGCTAAACAATGGTATTCGCGATAAGAAGTATTGGAAAGCGATGGACATTGTAGATGATGCTAAGAGTGAGCACAAATGGAAGAAGATCGTGGTCGCCTGCTCGAGAGCAGCCGAGTGACGATGAATGATGATGATGATATGATAACAACATAGATTACCGCTGACGAGGAAATCTATAGAGATGTATTTCGTTCCTCCATACGTCAATCGACAGAGGGTATCGAGCTTAAAAAAAAGTCTAAAAGGATATTGGCCGATGGCTCTTCCTTCAAAATTTAATCAATTTGCTCTATGACGCACAGCATAAGAGGACGTTTTCCGATGCTGCTCATAAAATGCTCATAAATTGAATTGAAGATAAATATACAATCACCTCTCGCAAGAACTTCATTCTTGTCTGATACTTCGACGTCTCTCAGAAAAAGGCCTGTAACAATGGGTAACAAAAAGAATGTATTAGAAAGGGTTGATTATATGTCACAATCGATAGTTAGGAATAATTTACACGATGGTACAACGAGGATGAAAGTATTCGATATGTGCAAAACAATTGACAGACTTGAGTTAAATAATGTGCTTATTAACCAATATGTTGTATGTTTTAACTCAATCTTAGGAGCCTACAATTACGCATGAAATACAAATAATTTAGAAATATATGTTACGGGCAAAACTGGAATTCGGTTAAATCAGAGATTTGCCCGGTCAAAACTGGAATTTTCAGTTTTGACTAGAGAAATATTGGTCAAAACTGGAATCTTGGCAAATCTGAGATATTACAAGAGTGAAATGCAATTGTTATTTAAAATTGATAATCATGCTTTTTATATAATATCATATTGATATATC